AACATAGATCTAAAGTCATAGTAAAAACTTTGTACTAAAGCATACCATATTATATGTTCACTGTGTAGATCTACTCAGGTGGAGTCAAAAAATTGGATTTTTCATTTTATGATTTTTCTATGATTTAATATGATTTTTTTAAAGATTTAGCTGAAATAAATAAAAAAGAAAAAGACAAAACCATCTTCAAAACGGCTTATAACATGGCTAGGGAGGTAAGATGAATAATTTTAAAAATTAAGGGAGATGTTTTGCTCGGTTTTAGAGTCTAGGAAGGAATGTTTTGCTCGGTTTTAGAGTCTATCTAGGAAAAACGGACTTCGCCGAAAGTTGAGGTAAAGTGGACTTTTTGCTTAAATATTAACGGATTCCATGTTCTCTCAACCTTTCGCGATGGGGAGCACCGGCGACACGACGGCGGCGGAGGCGCCGGCGACGGTGGGCGACTACGAGCTGCGGTAGCGCCTGGGTGGGCGTCCACCGTCCACGGCCGTGTGGCGAGCGGTCTCGCGGTGCACTGGCGCGCCTGTGGCTGTGAAGGAGGTGCGGCTCGCCGGCCTCCCAGCGCGCCTCCGCGACAGCGTCGACTGCGAGGTCCGCTTCCTCGCCGCCGTCAGCCACCCCAACATCATCCGCCTCATCGACGTCGTCCAGGTGCGACGCCATCTCCTTTTCTCTGGCTCTCCCTACCGACCGACTTCTTCCAGTGACCCTAGCTCTCCTTCTCCATTTGGGTGCCTGCCAGACCCAGAGCTGCCTTTACCTCGTCCTGGAGCTCTGCGAGGGCGGGGACCTGGCGGCCTTCATCCGGCGCAATGGGAGCGTTGACGAGCGCTTGGCCAGAAACTTTGTCAAACAACTCAATCCTTGACCCAATTGACCAGTAGTATTACTAGTAGTAGAAAATAGCATGTCTGCAATACCTTCACGACTGGCGATGTGATCGTGATGTGTGAGAAATGGCGCTTGCCCCCTGTGGCAGGAGCTGGCTTACAAGTGCTGCGCCGGCAGTCGTCCACCGGGACTTGAAACCTCAGGTCCATGGACTGAATCCTTTTCTTTTTCTCGGATCTGTTTGTGACTGTATTGGATCAACAATTCAAGTAACTGATATGCTGTGGCTATTCATCCAATGTTGCAGAATATCCTGCTCTCTTCTCGCAGCAGCGATGCCATCCTCAAGATATCTGATTTTGGCCTCGCAAGGTGCGCATTTATCCCCATTTTCAGATACCTATCTGACTAAGCGGTCGAGCATAAAATGAAATTTAAATTAAAAAAAACTGAATCAGCACTTATTTACAACGGTATTGAATATTCATGACGATTACTCTTTTGACCTGGATGAGATCCAGATGTAACTTATACTACCTGTTATTTGATATTTTACCTGCAGAGTTCTTCGACCGGGGGAGTATGCAGACACAGCTTGTGGTTCTTGTTTGTACATGGCCCCAGAAGTGATGCTGTTTCAAAAGTACGATGACAAGGTACGAATGGCATGTGTGCTCAAACGGGCAGAAAGTTGCTACTAGTACGAGAAATCTATCTGAACCTCTGTTATGCGCAGGTAGACATGTGGAGTATCGGCGCGATCCTATTTGAGCTCTTGAATGGCTACCCGCCATTCCGTGGCAGAAGCAATGTACAGGTGGCTGCCCCCTTTCCTTGTCCGAGACAACCCTTACCTGAAATTCTGAATTCAATAACTCTGCTGATGGCCATCTTTGTTTTCGTCTCTCTTCAGCTGCTTCAGTGCATCAACAGAAGCACATCTCTCCCGTTCTCAGAACCACTGGCGTCCACCTTGCATCCGGATTGTGTTGATATATGCACCAGACTACTATGCACTAATCCAGGTCTGTCACCTGTTAACTTTATACCCCTTTCATCCAGCCACCTGATACCTCGGTGACAGCAGCTAATGATCTAGGGCAAACGTTTCAGTGCCGCGGCTGTCCTTCCAAGAGTTCTTCAACCACAGCTTCTTCAGAGTTTGAGTGCCAAGCCACGGGGCGCAGGCAGCAACATCACCTGAACATCAAGATGCCTGAAGTTTGTTTTATCCTTGACGTGGACACTAGTCTGACTGACTGACTGTATTGTAAAGCGTTCAGAACTTGTTGCTGTACACGAAACATGTGCCTTTTACGATTTTGTGATGAATTTTCTGTTCATGCCCATTTCCTTCTCCAAAGCCATGTTGCCAACGTTTATTTGCCTTGAGAGAGAGATCAAGTACTTCTGCTGTTTCAGCAGCAGCCTTGTGCGGGAAATTATACTGTCTCTCTTGATGCATGCAGCTCTCCATGCACACCCTCACCCACTATCATTTTTGCCCTGAGATTCACCACCTTGGTCTCGTATTGCGACCTGAAACCAAGCAGAGCTGATACCTGCGTGAGCAGTGGCATTTCCCACGAATCCAATGGAGCGGCGGAAGATGATCGCCGACCTCCTCAGGGCAAGCGCGAAAAGCTCAGCGCTCCGCGGCGGCGTCCAGCTGCACGGCGCCCTGACGAAGCTGGGGTTCGGATCGGACACCATGCTGGGCAACAACCTGATCGACATGTACGCCAAGTGCGGGGAGCTGGACATGGCAGGCGAGGTGTTCGGCGGAATGCGCGACAGGAACGTGGTCTCCTGGACGGCCCTCATGGTGGGCTTCCTGCAGCACGGCGACGCCGCGGGGTGCCTCAGGCTGCTCGGCGAGATGCAGGCCGCCTCCGAGGCGGCGCCGAACGAGTACACGCTCTCCGCGAGCCTCAAGGCCTGTTGCGTCGCCGGCGACACGGGCACGGGCGTCGGGATCCACGGCCTCTGCGTCCGGGCAGGGTACGAGGAGCACGACGTCGTCGCCAGCTCGCTGGTGCTCGTCTACTCCAAGGGCGGGAGGATCGGCGACGCGCGGCGAGTGTTCGACGGCGCCGGGCTCGGGAGGAACATCGCCACCTGGAACGCCATGATCTCCGGGTACGCGCACGCCGGCCATGGAAAGGACGCGCTGCTCGTGTTCCGGGAGATGCGGCGGCGGCAGCACGAGGATCAGCATCAGCCCGACGAGTTCACCTTCGCCAGCCTGCTCAAAGCCTGCAGCGGCCTTGGCGCGACACGCGAGGGCGCGCAGGTTCACGCGGCCATGGCGGCCAGCGGGTTCTCGACGGCGTCCAACGCTATCCTTGCCGGCGCGCTGGTTGACATGTACGTCAAATGCGGGCGCCTGCCGGTGGCGATGCAAGTGTTCGAGAGGCTGGAGCGGAAGAACGCCATCCAGTGGACGACGGTGGTCGTCGGCCACGCGCAGGAGGGGCAGGTGAAGGAGGCGCTGGAGCTGTTCCGGCGGTTCTGGCGCTCCGGCTCCCGAGCCGACGCCCACGTCCTGTCCAGCATCGTCGGCGTGCTCGCGGACTTCGCGCTGGTCGAGCAGGGCAGGCAGGTGCACTGCTACGCCGTCAAGAGCCCGGCCGGGACGGACGTGTCAGCGGGCAACTCCATCGTCGACATGTACCTCAAGTGCGGGCTGCCCGACGAGGCGGAGCGGATGTTCCGGGAGATGCCGGCGCCGAACGTCGTCTCGTGGACGACGATGATCAATGGCCTCGGGAAGCACGGGCTTGGTCGTGAAGCCGTCGGCTTGTTCGAGGAAATGCGAGCGGGAGGCGTGGAGCCCGACGAGGTGACGTACCTGGCGCTGCTGTCGGCGTGCAGCCACGCCGGCCTCGTCGACGAGTGCCGCCGGTATTTCTCTTGCATCCGGCGGGACCGGACGGTGAGGCCGAAAGCGGAGCACTACGCGTGCATGGTCGACCTCCTCGGCCGCGCTGGGGAGCTCAGGGAGGCCAGGGACCTCATCCGGACAATGCCGATGGAGCCGACCGTCGGCGTATGGCAGACGCTCCTGAGCGCGTGCAGGGTGCACAAGGACGTCGCCGTCGGCAGGGAGGCAGGCGACGTCCTCCTGGCCATGGACGGCGACAACCCGGTGAACTACGTCACGCTGTCCAACGTCTTCGCGGAGGCGGGGGCGTGGCGCGAGTGCCACAAGGTGAGGGACGCCATGAGGCGCAGGGGGCTCAAGAAGCAGGGCGGGTGCAGCTGGGTGGAGGTCGGCAAGGAGGTGCACTTCTTCTACGGCGGCGGCGACGAGGAGACGCACCCGCAGGCCGGTGACATCCACCGCGTCCTGAGGGACGTGGAGACGAGGATGCGGGAGCAGCTCGGGTACTGCGCCGGTGACGCGCAGTTCGCGCTGCACGACGTCGACGAGGAGTCCCGCGCGGAGAGCCTGCGGGCGCACAGTGAGAGGCTCGCCGTCGGCCTGTGGCTGCTGCGCAACGGCGTGGACGGCGGGCACGGGGAGCCGATCAGGGTGTACAAGAACCTGCGGGTGTGCGGGGACTGCCACGAGTTCTTCAAGGGACTGTCAGCCGTCGTGAGGAGGGCGCTGGTAGTCAGAGACGCCAACAGGTTCCACAGGTTTGAGCATGGCGCGTGCTCCTGCAAGGACTACTGGTGACGTTGCCTGCCCTACCTGAATCACCTCTGCCAGTCCAGCAATTGTATCAGCTTCGGTAGATGATGTAGAATTTTTCCCCCTGGTTGGTGTTTACTTCAGTTTGCTAACAGTAGACTAGCCAGCTCGGCCCTGCTGTTGTTGTCGCTTCGGTGTAGTCATCAAGAATTTTGGTTATGTGTATCGAACAGCATAACAGATAATGAGCTCCAACAAGATTATTGGTCCACTTTTCAGATAATCTATGACATGGCCTAATGAGGTCAGCCATGTCTAATGATCAGTATATGTACGGGTATCCCATACAAATCGAAGGCAGTCATAGCCACAAAGATATTTAGTCTGAAACAAAACTCCATCTTTTATTCAACTGGCATAAACTATCCCATTTTATTGAACGAACATATGCTTTATCTTCCTTGTACAAAATTAAATTACAGGGAGACCAACAAACAACAGAAATGAAAAGTGGCTATCGGTTCTGCCACTAAAGTTCCAATTCAACAGTAACAATAAACCAGACGCAATGCTCCCTTCCACCAGGCTCAACTTCTAATAAAATGTAAATTCCTTCAACCATCTCATCCTGTAGGGTTATAAATTAAGTACCAGCATGCATCAGTTTACAGCAGCCACTTCCTTTAGTGACTCCACTGTCTTCAAGACTTCTTCCCCCATTCGCTTGCATCCAACCAATGTCTGCCAATTGAGAACATAAGCCTCTCAGAATGAGATCAACCAAAATTATGCATGCCTTTGCAAACTAGCTCTCACTTTATTCCACAGAGACACGAAAGAGTTAATATGCCTGAAGCACTATGAACCCAAAACAAAATACTATTGCACAACCTGAACGATTTGTTTAATGCGGATCTTCATACCTTCACTAGGTGAGGACCAAGTACTTGACATGAAACATGTACAATATAAAGCTAACAAGTTCTCCATTTTTTATAGAGAAGGTAGGAATAAAACTTCATTAAAATAACTAAGCAATGCAAAAGCATGAAGGTTGGATTCATTCCACCAAAATTCATGGGATGAACTCATGATGGATCATCTCAACTAAGGATGAGGTGATTCCTCAAACCAAACACCCCCATAATTCATTGATAAAATGGTTCTGCAAGAAATATATCTTACTGTTCCAGGAGAATAGATGTCCCCAGTTCGGAACCCATGGTTCAGTGTTTCTGTAACTGCAGCTTCAATTCTCTTCGCAGCATTTTCTTCTCCTAGGCCATATCGCAATAGCATCGCTGCACTAAGAATTGTAGCTAATGGATTGGCCTTGTCCTGCACTCAACACATAACAGGAGGGGAAGCAAATTTCAGACAAACATAATTTAAACCCATCTAGTGTCAGATAATTTTTCCAAATAGAAGTCATCTCAACCTGTCCAGCAATATCAGGGGCAGAGCCATGAATAGGTTAAAAAAGACCAGGTCCCTGCATAGAAACAGAATAGCACTTTCAGCTGCATTTTTGAATTTTCAGCAGAATATAATGGCATCTATAAACAATTGAGAGAACTCCAAAACATTGGAGGGATTCAATTACCGATTCACCAACACTGGCAGATGGAAGCATTCCAATGCTTCCCGTAATCATTGATGCTTCATCAGATAATATGTCACCAAATATATTGTCTGTGAGAATTGTGTCAAACTGCGGCAATAAAGGAAATTAAGATCAACACATCTTCTTCATGCTTAGCCAGGGTGCAATGAATTAAGTCAAGATAAAAGGGGAAATAAGAGAAGCAAACCTGCTTAGGATTCCTAACAAGCTGCATAGCAGCATTATCAACATACATGTGTGAGAGCTCAATGTCAGGGAGTTCAGAAGCTAGTGCAGTCACCCTTTTCCTCCAAAGCATGGAAGCCTACAATATTATTGCAGCAAAAGGGTTGTATGAACTATGTGCAAGAAGAAAGGGTCCACAACCATATACATTTAACCTTTCAAGGGTTTTCTAGTGTCAGCATAATGCTAAAAAATATTTGCATATCAATAACTGTAAATAAAGTCTAAAAATAGAAACACTAATTCTTTATATTTTGTAACCAAACGATGGAATTTCAATTCAAAGACAGGGTCAAGTAACATTTCACACAGAAAATCACTTCAAAATAAGTTTTGATATACATTTAAGACAAGTATAAAAAAAGCACCTCCAGCACATTTGCTTTGTCAACCGAGCATAGTTTCCCTCCTCTCTTGCGAGCAACTTCAAATGCAACACGTGCGATACGATCAATCTGGGGATGAAACACAGAATTTCACAATCATCAAGGACCAAAATTTTGCAAATGAATGCATTCTTAATTTGAATAATATCAAATAAAGAGTTCCGGATACAAGTATAGATATTCTCCTACGAACCACATCCTGCATCAGTAACTGGTTCTGATTAAGGCATAATATTTTTTTTGGTCAAGGGAGAGATGGTAGAATAGCTAATGGGGGTGGAGTCACCTCAGAAGCTGAATAAACTTCTGTGTTGAACCCAATATCAGTAACTGCGTCGAGGGCCCAACTAAAAGCCCGTAAACACCGCGCGCACGCGAGGTCCTTCTCCTCCTTCCCTTCCTCCACTCTGCAGTGAGTCTTCCCAACCATTCCACTCTGCACTGGCGGCGGCGGCGAGGCCTCGCGACTTCCAGATCTCTCCGACGAGGGCGGAGGGGAGGGAGATGTCGTACATGAGGGGGTCCTACCGGCGAAGATGCGGAAGCTGGTGAAGGGCCTCGCCAGGCCCGAGCCCAGGTGGCTCAAGGCCATGGAAGAGTCAGTGCTCTCGCTACGCCAACCTCTCCGCTCCTTCCCCGTCCCTAGCTGTGCCCTTGCACTTGCATTGCTCGATTGGTCGACCCATCCGTGACGCCGCCGTTAGGGTCAGGACGATGGACCATTTGGATGCTGTTGATGGCTCTGTTAGGCTTGTTTGGATTCTGTGAATAATATGACTCTACGAGAAATCGCATAGGTTTTCTCCCATTTGATTGCTCATCCATGGACAATGGATCTATAATCTGTAGCGATGTAAATGACATGATTCTGTGCTGAAACAATTTTGCATGTAGATTTGATTCTTGGCTGTAGTTTCTGTTGCCATCAGCGGGTTTCTGTTATCGTGCTTCGTTTGGTTCACTTGTGCTACATTTGTATCTTCGTACAGACCGAAGATGGCTAGTGTGTCTATGTATTATGCTTAATAAATAAATAAATTGTTTAAAAGTGACATATCATTTGTCTCCTGTGACATTTCCGTTCTTGTTCTTCATGCTGATTTCTGGTTTACTGAAACAAGCAGCGCTTGTGCATTAGGGCACCACCAGTGACATTTCCTCGCACAGATGGGAAGATCAAAAAGATCGAGTTTCCTGAGGATGTGTATGTTAGGAAGTTCAACAAAAAAACATCCAGATTCGCTCTACCATGATGCAATCAAGTAAGATCCTTCTCTTTTCTTATGTGATTTCCTTATAGAAACGTCATTCTGCAACGCTGTATATAGTTAAAATAATACTCGACTTTTTAATTTTCCAATGTCTTGGTGGAGGGCAGGATGATTTTTCTTTTACTGTTTTTCCTGTTTTCATTCCACTTTTCTGTTTCAAGATTTACATGGGTTCCATTTGTATTGTACATGGTTATATGGGACTTGCTTGGCCTTCTCATCGAAGCCTGATTGTATCACTCATCTTATGAATACTGTTATATAGTTGCTGGATTAGTGAAAACAGTTGCTTAATACTCAATCCATCCCAAATTGTAAGACGTTTGACTTTTTTGACATCAAGTTTGACCACTCGTCTTATTCAAAAATTTGTGTAAAATATCACTTCTTTTGTCGTGGTTTGATTTATTAATAAAAATTCTTCAAGAATGACTTAAATTTGACTATATTTGCACAAATTTTTTGAATAAGACGAGTGGTCAAACTTGGGGCCAAAAAAGTCAAACGTCTTACAATTTGGGATGGAGGGAGTATGATGGATGCACAGTTGCAAACTGATTAATGGGGTTCTTGAATTTGTGTGGTCCTTTTGAACATTCTAGTATTAGTTTGGTACCTTGGTGACTATCTTCAGCTTACATCTGTAGGCCAGCACATGATAATTGACTCTTTTTTGGTCCTACTACTGATGGCATTACTGTTTTGGTGCTATTCTCTGGAATATTTCCTCTCTTTTTCTTGGGCTTGATTTATTTGAGTTTCTCACTTTGGACACGAGATGCATTGTTTGCCCATCCTTTTCAGGATAAGTGGATTTGATCCACCACCAGCTTGAGTTTTTGCTTGGCGTGTTCTGGAGTTGAAAGAGCAAGGAGTCACTGAAGATGATGCGATGGCTGTAGCAGATGTAATTATTCTCTTCTATAATCCTTTTGTTTATTTTTATCAAACACCCTTAAACAGAAAAATCAATTCTGGGCATCACTGTACTTGAGTTTGAAGCTACTGAGTCGTTTAAGTTTGAACGGCTACTGGTTTTATTAGATTTCTGTCGTATAACAACCATCCTTTTTCTAGATGGAGTATTGGACACAGAAGAAAGCAAAGAAAAAAGCATACAAGGAACTGAAAGAAATCACCCACAGTGAAGGAAAGAAGCCACCTCCAAATCCATACCCAAGTGCCATAAAAGAAATACAAGCAGAGGAAAAGAAATATGTTATGGATCGTTTATTTAACCCGAAGGTAATTGAGATTGCGAACAAGATGAAAGAGGAGAGGAGACAAGTTGCTTAAAGATAGAGCAGCATCAGGTCGATGGTAGTAGTATACCAGGTATTATTTGGACTGGCTGACTAGGTATTCTTGTTTATGACATTGACCAACCAGCATCATAAATAATAGTTGTTGCTTACTTGAAATTGATATGGCAAACATGAAACTCATGTGTTTTTTGTTTGTATTTTGCGACTGTAGATGTCCTCTGAAATGCAATATTTGTCCATAGTACCCTGTTCCTACTTGGTTCTATTTCCATGTATTTGATTTTTCAAACATCATTTTTCAGTATTTTCTTAGAAGTTTGTGAGTTTCGTCTTCCATTTTGCTACAATGTAATGGTCTGATGCTATTTGGATGGTTCTTGTGCACCTAGCATGACTGCTTGAGAAATACGTTAATTTTGTGGAACCTTAATTTGCTCATAATCCAATTGGGTCAACATTGAATGGCATCTTTTCTACAGTAGCAACTAGCCATGGTAGAGCATATGATCCTGGCCTATCATTTGGAAATTCTCTATTTACAATCGAGGAAAAGGTTTCTCAGCAAGCTGATTGAGATGTATTTTGCTTGCTTCAGAATATTTTGCTTACAGCTGATATGACTAGATCAAATCGGTTGCATTGTGACATGTTGGCAGGATGTCAGTTTCCCTTTAACTTGGCTCTTGTATGCTTCCTGTGTAAATTTCTGTATATCCTTGTGACGAACTTTTAGCTGTCTCCAACAGGAGACCCATTGGCATTGCGGAGCCCAAACCCAAAATAGGTCTCCAACACAATACATATAGCCTCCAACATAGTACCTGTATGGAAGATCCATTTTAGGTGCCAGGAGAGACATAACCCAAATATGAATATCCTCTCTCCTAGAGACCTATTTACAGAAAGGGTTGTGTCTTGGGTCTTGTTGTTGGAGAAGACTAAAAATAGGTATTGAACATTTTACCTGTAGCGCTACCCAAAGGATAAATGAGTCTTGTATTTTTTGTCGCGGTTGTTGGAGACAGTCTTAGGGTTATCTGAGTGCTCATTCAGTTGGTGCTCCCCACTCTAATGGGAGGTTGAAGGAACCAACATCTGTGTATACACTGTTGAGATCTGGCATTCTGAGGGATATGATTGATTCTCATTTTTTCCTATAAGAATTTCTTGTGATTTTTTTTGCCTTGTAGTTTACACCAGTCTTGGTGTTTTTTCTTTATTGCAAAATTTTCTATAAAGAAAAAACACCAAGGCTAGTGTAAACTACAAAATTTTCTTGCAAAGTTTTTTTTCTTTAATGCAAAATTTTCTTGCAGAAGGGCAGGCCTGGTGTAGTGGTGAGAGCTGTCTCACTGAGTCACCAGGTCGCGGGTTCAAGTAGCCTCTCCGTAGATTTTGCGGGGGAAAGGCTTATCTCGGTTTTTCCCTTTCCTAGACTCCACTCACGTGGGAGCCTCACGTGGGAGCCTCTGGCACTGGATTTGCCCTTTTTTTTGCAAAATTTTCTTGCAGTGCTTAAGATTTGGTGGTAAAAAGTTTGCTCATGTAGTGTGCCTCAAAGATGATTTTCTTGATTATGGTGTGCCCTATATTTGTATGCTTAAATAAATTATATATATAAATACATGTCCTTAGCAAAGCTACAGCTCTCAGTGATCCGTAGTTCCATCTTCCATACGCTGTTACTTGTATCTTGATGTAATGCTGACATGATGTGGGTGTACCATGTACAATTGATTCCGATGGCATACAACGCCAGACACATGGTCATCTATCGTTTAGCTATTACATTCAGGATATAAAAAGGGCCAACTAAATGAAATAAATGGCTGATCGATCAAAAATGGTTTAGCACCACCATGTAACGTGTTTATAAAAAAAATAGCTAAAGGCTGCTTAGGCAAACAGTGCTGTAACTGAACATCCGGCCTGACAGTGCTCAGTATTCTTACCGGGCTTACCACATTCAGCTAGTTAGCTGCATCAATTTGTAAGCGAGGAGATCGTGACAAACACACCACACGTATAACAGGGGCAATGTCTAACGTTTTGTGAAAACAATTGCACTATTTGATGAAACAATTACAGTATGTTAGATTTGATAAAACAGTCTTGAAATCTTGTAACATCAGTCGTTCCCCCTCGCTACAAATGATTCAGATTCAGATTCAGAGGGCCAAAAAATGGAGTCACACCGTATACCTGTGACTATAAACAATGCTATGTTTGTAAACGGGAAGAGTTCTGCTGCTGCGGCAAACGCATATAACCTTTCCACTTTTGTCCAGTCACCATATATATAACCACAGCACAGGTGTAGTTTCTCTCATCTCAGTCGCAGTGAGATTAGCAAGGTTATTTCTCTGCACCGTCCTTCTTCTGAACTTCCCTTCAGACTCGCGGACCTCTTCGCCACCTGGTTTAGCAGATGCGTTTCCATACCATATCATTCCAAGAATAGCGATCGAGGACCATCGCAATGATGACCTGAAGATTATTCAGGCCTTCCTTGCCAAAGAAGAGAAACCCATTGATGACCTGAAGATTGTCTGGGAGCAGAGATGTATTCTGTCTGGCTGCTTTGGGAATAGTTCTATCTGTTGCTTTTCTGCGTTTTGGTTATGCGTAGTGGGTTCTGGTGGCTTTTGGACCTTCATCGTCAACAAACAGGTGGTATGCCACCTGCAGGGATGTAACCGTCTTTTAATCCAATTATTAAAAGACTGGGGCTCAGCCCTAAATAAAACTCTAAAAAATAGGCTTGAATTGTTGACGTAGGACATGGACAATGGTACTACAGATCTCTGACTGTCTGATACAGTCTTGTGGAGGTTTACGCATGCAAAGCTGGAGCTGGAGTTCGGCCGGAGGATGATTAGATAGCCATCACTTGTGCAGACCACACACAGCGAACAAATAAACAGGAAAACAACTGCTCATCACATTGTCTGGGTGGTGTAGTTGGTTATCACGTTAGTCTCACACACTAAAGGTCCCCAGTTCGAACCTGGGCTCAGACATTTTTTTTTTTTTGCTTTTTAAGCTCAGACATTTTC